TTCCACGAGAGGTTGTCCTTGATTATCACTCCGAGAAATTTTGTGCTGGATGTACGCGGGATGCTATGGTTATTCATTTTTATATCTAAATTAGGTATTGTGTTAGTCAATATTTTTGGACCGAATGGAATGTAGTTGCATTTAGAAAAATTTACAATTAGTTTATTATTGATGGACCAATTTGAAACATCATCTAAACTTTTATTAATTATCTCTATATCGTTTGATGGATTGCTAGTTGGGAAGAAAATGTTAGTATCATCTGCATACAGAAGATGATGCGCGTCAGTAGCCAGATGAAAATCATTCATAAAAATTATAAATAGAAGTGGGCCTAAGATTGATCCTTGCGGGACTCCTGAAGTTATATTTAATTTATTTGAAGATTTATTTTTTATCGACACATACTGATTTCTTGTTTGCAGATAACTTATGAACCATGTATGTGCTATTCCTCTTATTCCAAAGGAGTATAGTTTCTTTATTAATATCTCATGATTAATAACATCAAATGCCTTGGACAGGTCTATGAAAACACCTATGGTTAGGATTTTTTATTCAGATTGTTTAATATGTTTTGTACTAAATGTAGTACTGCTAGTTCAGTTGAATGTTGTGCTCTATATCCATATTGATTTTTATTTAATAAATTATTAATATTCAAGAATGAAGTTATTCTGAAAAATATAATTTTTTCCAGTACTTTAAAAATAGGTGAGAGAAGGGATATTGGCCTGTAATTGTTCATTTCCATCTTGGATCCTTTTTTATGAATAGGTATTATCTTAGATGTTTTGAAGCATTTTGGGAATATTCCTTGACTGATGGACAAATTGAATATATGTGTTATTGGATGTACAATTTCTGAGATGATTTGTTTTAAGTGATAATTACTTAATGAGTCATCAGAGGTGCTTTTTTTATTGCTAAAATTCTTGACGACTGTTAATACCTCAAGTTCATCAGTGGAGTTAATGTATATGGATTTACAAATGTAGTTGTTTATTTTTGAAGATTCATTAACTGTTTGATTTTCAAGCAAATTTTCAGTAATTTTAATAAAATATTCATTGAAACAGTTACACATTTCTCCTGCATTATCGATTATATTATTGTTGACTTTTATTTTATTGATATCATTCAACTGTTGATTTTTATTCATTATACCATTTATTATCTCCCTTTTTATTTTTCCGTTTCAGCGGTTGCAATGGGGCGTAAATATCAAGAATTCTATTTAATTGATTATAAAAATTCATGCAACAGGTGTCAATGTTACTCTCATCCGTTATTGAATCCCATTTTTCAGAAGATAGAGCTTCCTTAATTAGGGAAATGTTTCTCTTATTTATGTTCCTTTTCAAAGTCAGAGTATCTGTAGTGACAAATCTTGTATTTTCTACAACTGTATAAACTGGATAATGATCTGAAAAGTCTGATATTATTATTCCATTATAACATTGTTGATTTAAGTTAAAAAATATATTATCTATTAGTGAAATTGAGTTATTAGTTATCCTAGTTAGTAAATCAATCAAAGGTAAGAAGTAATGCGACAAAAGTAAATTTTGAAAATCTTTGGAGGTTTTATCAATTAGATTAATGTTAAAATCTCCGACAATGAAAATTTTATCAAGTGGATTTAGACTATTTAGTATCGATTCAATTTTTTCTAAAAAAGACTCATATTTATAACTAGGTAGTCGATAGATGGCAATTATCTTGATCATGTTATGTAGTGAGGCTTGATGCAATTCAAATTCCACGCAAAGTATGTCAACGTTGTCATCATCGAATATGTTGCTTTCATTTACAACATATTTTACATCATAACCTACACCTTATAAACATTCCAACAACGCCTCCACGTCTATTTCTTCTATTCTTGTATACGAAATTGTAATTATTTAATTTAATTAAATCAGCCGTTTCATCGTTTAACCAACTCTCAGATATTACAATAATTTTGAAGATAAAATAAAATTGTTTCAACAAGATCTCAAGATTCAATAATTTGTGAAACAAAACAGGAGCATTTCAATTAAATATTGTATTGAAATAAAATCCGATACGATATGCTTTTGTAATTCTAACATATTTTTAGAACTTTCCTCTGCAGTGTAATAATTTGAGGCGTTGTTACTGAGGTGTTTATCTGATATATTATTATTGCTTTGTGTGTTATTCATCATGTTTTTGTTTATTTATTAAAGTTACTTCATTTTTACCATCAATGTTAATTTCATTTTTATTCTTTTTGTCAATATTATTATTTGGTTTGAAGACCCACTCACGAATGATTGTGTCTTCATCCCAGAGAGCAGAATCTGTGAAAGTGCTATCTGAATTATTGATGTCAATACATATTCTGAAGCCTTTTCCCAGATGAGACTTTGCCTCAAAACAACTGATTACTTTAAATTTATTTGTTTTCAAAGTTTCATTATTGACTGTGTCAGCAAGATTACTTACAAAGTAAATTTTTTTTTTAACAATTGCCCCAGCTGATTTGGGACACATGCCAGTGCTGTTGGTTCCTCTAATGTTTTTAATTTGACGTTTCTTTTTCGAGACAATTGAAAAAGGATTTTCTTGTTGAATTGCTGATGGAGACTGATGTTGCTGATGAGTAAGAGGTCCTAATGATGAAAAGGGATGTTGCTGATGTTGTTGTGCAGTTGGGGGTATTTGTATCCGAACAGCTGGATTTCTTGGGAGAGAACGAGGACTTTGAATCTCATTCAATTTAGGATTGACATTTTTTGCTGTCACCGCCGAGTAAAGCATATTCTGTGTATTTATTCCTAAGCTGACTGTATTTAACTGTTCTTTTATTTCATGTAGCTGTTGTTGGATTTTTTCATCTTTGCTGTTTTCGTCATTCTGTTTTAAACCTGCAGCAAAGCATGGGATTTTTTTTAAGTTTACTGCGGCATAAATAGGTAACTTATATTCTAATTTATTCAAATAGACATAATCGATAACTTGAAATATTTCCTGTATTTCGGCGTCCTTGGTGTTACCATGAGGAACAAGTTTCAATTTTTCACTTTCCAGCATGCTTTCAACATGACTAATTAAAGATTTTTTTGAATTAATTAATTCTTTGACTGAGTAGAGTTGTTTTATGTTTTCCAACACTTTCAAATTTTCAGCTTCTACTCTGAAGTTAAACAGAAAGCACAATAAATCATCAGCATGTATTGTCCGTGCAGCCATTTTTCAAAATTCTCCGGTCCGGTTTTCCGTAAAAGCAACAAAATTTACAAAGTTAATTAACAGAAATTAACTTAAAAATTAGATATTTTCCTGTTTTAACCAAAAATTAATACTACTAAACTTAAATTTAAGAATATTTTTCAAAATTAGTTAAATTAAAACGAGAGAAAACGTGCGTTAAGCTATCAAAAGACATAAATATAAACAACTTGAAGAGTCATACGAAACGAGACGAGACAACACGAAACGAAACGAGACGGAATAAAACCATTCGGAACAATACATACTGAAATAGACATATATATATATATATATATATATATATATATATATATATATATATATATATATATATATATATATGTGTGTGTGTGTGTGTGTGTGTGTGTGTGTGTGTGATTGTGTGTGTGTGATTGTGTGTGTGTGTGATTGTGTGTGTATTTCTTTTCATATAATTATGTATACGAGGGAAAGAAAATGTACAAATGTACACGTGTGTATTTGGGAGAAAGAGAAATACAATAAGTATCCGAGAAAGAGATAAAAAAAGAACGATATATCCAATTTGGCGGGTTACCAAATGAAGTTCACTATTGGTTTCTTTGGAGGGTGCTTAAATCAGTTTGCAATTTCTTTTTCATATTAAGGGCAGGTGTCAAAAGCTTACCGCATGTACAAGCATTCGCCGCGATAATGAAATTTAAAAAAGTGTGAACATGTGCGTGCACGGTAAGCCCTTCCAAAATCGGATGTTTCAGTTTATAGAAGGTCGACAGCCTGGGTGGTTTCCGGGGCAACATTTAAAAAGTTGCACACCTCTGGTCTACATTAAATTTTTTTTAATCCAAGTGTATGTCGAAAACGAATAATAAACATTTGTGAAAAACTCAGTAAAATTTTCTGTGAGCAGCGGTCCGACGGAGTTTTTAATCCTGACTGATAAGCCATCGACCAAATGAAAAACAAACTGAAATTTTTAACTAAACGTTTGAGCAGATGCTTATGCGATGGCGCATTGAGAGGTGTTTCTGAAAACACCAACAGCCATGTTGTGAAAGAAATAAATGACTCGCAGGCTCCAAATTTTGGGGAAGTTGTGCAATTTTAATTGTACTTTAACATATTTTTGAAAGTGGTGTACATGAAATTTTAAAATGGAATCGCCCCATCGTATCTCTCCCATTGGATGCAAGAGAAGCAATGACGTCAGGCAGCATTGTAATTGATGGTGAAAAACTCCGGCGGGTGATCGTTCACAGCGTAAAAACACACTTCAATGTAATGACGTAATTGCTCCAAGTCAATGTTCATTTCATTTCCTACGTGTGATTCAATGGTGGTAGGTTTTGTGGACGTTATGGGGGTGATGCTTTCAACGCTGGTGATCTCAAATAAGGTTGGTTCAACAAATTACGAGCAGGCAGAGTTTCTAGATCATTGAAACCCCGATCATGTTAAGGCGGCCATAAATAATGATGATAATAAAAATTACAGTGATGATGATAATATTATTAATAATAAATTAATAATAACGCTAACAATTTATAATACTAATAATAATGATGAAAAGAATGGCAAAGGATGGCCCCCAACAAAAAAGAGGATGATGATGACGATGATGATGATAAGATAGTGATAATGGTGATGATAGTGGTGATGATGATGATGATGATGATGATGATGATGATGATGATAATAATGATAGTGATAATGATGATGATAGTGGTGATGATGATGATGATGATGATGATGGTGGTGGTGATGATGATAGTAATAATAACCGGCGTCCGGCGGCAGACAGAAGCCGATCATGATGAGGACGCTAAGCATGACGCAGGGCAGAACGATGTTCATTATGTAGAACTTGAACCTGCAGTCGTGAGGTGTGTGTGTGTGTGTGTGTATGTGTGTGTGTGCTGTGAATGTGAAATGTTGATCGTGTTGTTTGTGTGTGTTGGAGTGTGAAATGCTGATCGTGTTGTTTGTGTGTGTTGGAGTGTGTGAAATGGAATGGCGATAGATTCATTGTTGAGCCTGCAGTCCAATCTCATTGCTGACAAATAAAGTCAGGATTTTAGAAGATAATGAACAAATAAATTAATTAATTAATTAATGACTAAATTAATAAATTATAATGTGTTTGATGGAGAAAAAGATAAAGCAAGGTTAGACAGATGACCAATGATTGTGAGTGTTCATATGCTTTACATATCTTGAATTGAAGGTTTTATAGTGAATTTCTCGCTTTTTAAATTATTAGGTCAAACGCTTAACAAAAATTAATAAATCTACAATATTTCATGATAAAATATCGTTTGGAGTGAACAACAAGTTTTGAAATTTCATTAGATTTGAGAAATTTAGTTACATGTTACGCACTGGCCCGGCGAAAAGTGTCTGCACACCTGCTGAATAAGCACTGGCCTGGCCAAAAGGGTTTGCACACCTGTTGCGAACCGATTGGTGTCTCGATGTTTTAGGGCTAATGAGAAATTCGTGTAAAATATTCTCGCATACAAAGAAGCCTCTTTTTTCGTGACTAATTAACTCTGGCAATTCGTTTCTACCTTAAAAACATTCGTGCTATTTATGCGCCTATTTGTCATCGGTTTTGTCATTGTTGTGGCTGATGTCGGTTGCTATTGTCGTTTTTGTTGTTGTTTACGTTGTTGTCGTTTTTGTTGTCATTTTTGTTAGTTATGCTGTTGGTCGTTTTTGTTGTCATTTTTGTTAGTTATGCTGTTGCAGTTGTTTTTGTTGTTGTTTATGTTGTTTTTAATGTTGTTGTTTATGTTGCTGGTGTTTACGTTGTTGTTTTGCTTTTTCATTGTTGTTTATGTTGCGGTGGTCATTTTTGTTGTTTTTTTTTGTTGTCATTGTCGTTGTTATTGTTGTTTTTGTTGTTAATGTCATTCATGTTTTCAAATGTTGTTTTCAATGATGTTTTTATTGTAGTTGTCGTTGATGTCTGAATTGTGGTCGTAGCTATTGTTTGGAAGTTTGGTTTTTGTGTTAGAAATGCTTTTGCAATTGTGGTCAAAGAATATAAAATTCTTTATAAAAAGGTTATGGTTCACACGCCATTATTCCAACCATGCTGCCCTTTTGAAAATCTATTCACTTCATCTGTTATTAAGATTTATTATTCTTTCTATTTTCATTAGTTTTTTTTTGCTTTCACCAATATTTTAATTGAGATTTGTCATCTCAAAACATTGCTAGAAGAATGGAAGTTAGTGGTAATGAGATGGTGGTGATGAGCTGACTGACCTCCGCCTCAAGTTCAAGGTGAAGACGACGTGTGAGTACCCGTCGGCGTGGTTGCTGAGAGTGGTGATGTTCCACTCGGAGGAGGTCCTGTGGATCTGCCACTCCCCGTTTGCCCGGAAGTCCTGGGTCGATATGCTGGAGGAGGCGTTCGTGATGTTCATCTTCGTGCTGTAGTACGAGTAGGAGCCTGGTCGGTGATGGTGATGGTGGTGATGATGATGGTTGTGACGGCCATAAAAGTGATAAAACTGTTTGTGATTGTGATGATTTCGTTTGAAATGACTGTGATGGTAATAAAAATAAGCATGGTATAATTTGGATTAAAAACGATAAGTGACGATGGCAAAAATGGCAAATTTAATGGCACAACAACGCAAACGATAAAGGTAGGTAAGTTTATAATAGCAACGATCAAAAAATAACTTCTGACTAACATCTTATCGATTGAGTCAAATAGCAATGCTGTTTTAAATTCTTGTTGGTACATTTAAATTTTCTAAGCACACGAGCAAGTATATGGAAAGTTAACAAAACTATCATTGCAGTACGATGTTGAGTTTAGCAAAACCAACATCCCAGACAAACATCCACTACGAAACCTATAAGCAGTAGGCAGTTTTGAGAATCGAAAGGGAAGTAGGCGATGTCGATGTCACAGGTCGTCCTGAAGATGCCACCTGGCTCCCAGTGGATCCTGCCGTCACTGTGTAGGAGGACACGGATGCGATCGAAATCTGGCATCAGCTCATCAGCTCTGGCAGGTGATTGATTAGTTGAATGGTTAGCTGGTTGATTGGCTGTTTGATTGTTGTTTGGTTCGATGGTTGGTTGGATGGTTGAATTATTAATTTCCTTGGTTGATTGATTGACTTATTAATTGATTGGTTGACCAGTTCTTAAATCGGTTAATTAATTAATTATCTAACTGTTTGATAAGTTATGGAAAATTTTAAAACTTCAATTTATCGAGCATAAAAAGATAACAGTAGTTGAATTTTATTCACTAAAAAAAAATTGATTTTTCAATTTTTAGGCAACTATCAAATTTTTCAGAGATGGAATTTTTCAGATTTTTCAAATTGGATGTTAATTTTTAATTTGATCATCACTATTTTTGTTAATTATTAATTTCATAATTATTTTTCTAACTATTAAATTATTATTATTATTTTCAGAATATTTAAAGACAAAAACAATTTAAAGATAAAAAAAAATTGTAGCAAAAGTTTGCCGGAGTGATGGCCTAGTGGTTACGGTCGCTTGTTGCTGTTTCGCAGTGTATGCAGTGATCGGGTTCGAATATGACCAGAAGATCTCCGTGTGTGATGCGTCGCTTAGCATGTATTCATATAGGATGTTTTGAAGTTGTTCATTCCTCTGAACCTAGGAAGAGTGCAATTTACCTTTAACCTTTCTTCAACCATTTTTTAATGTTTAGAAATTTTGGTAATTTTGAGAAAAACTATCATAATAACGTGATTTTGTATGTTGCGTCAGTGAATTAGGAGACAGGTCACAGAGACAAGAGGAGATGAAAAGCTGTAAGATGTCACTTGGATGAAATGATTAAAATAGATGCATGCTGCACTAAGGAACCGACAAGCTCAATTAAATTTTCTACCTGTGGTTTATGCTTGCACCGTATGTGCGCGTGAAGTTAATTTTTATAAAATTAAAATATTTCAATATCATTTTCTGAGCACACCGACAATGCATGTGCTGTCATGCGTGTGTCCTTCTTACGTGTTTCATTGAAAGTTAAATTTCCGTGGATTTGTTTCTTTAAACTCATTTTCACGTTTCACAACAATTTGTTGAAGTTTGCGATTTTCAAATTTAACCTTTCTTATTATTATATTTTTATATTAATGAAAATTGAACAAAAATTTCCTAAATAAAAATTATTTGATTTAATTATTATTACTTATGCATATATCCATTTACGTGTCTTAAAAAAAACAAACCAGACATAATTGAATTGTTTGATACCATTCAAAATAAATTTCACTTTGTTCATTTTGTTCAATTGGATTCAACGATTGGATTAACGCCATCAAAAGGTAGAAAAATGCTCCAACAACTCTATTGTACATTTGCAAACTCACCATCCAGACAGAAATTCTATTCAATCGCTCATGATCACAAAAAAAAAATTGATTCAATCTGCCATTATGTTGACATGTCGCCACCTGGATTCAAACATTTGCTTGCATTGCTTGATGTCATCAACATAAATATTGATTATATTATTGCTTACAAATTTTTAATAATCTAGACTTACAATTGTGTGGCCTGCATGTTTTATTTTACTGAGTGCATTATGCGCAAACTTTCACATTATTTGATTTTTTTATTTGCACTCATATCAAAATAATTTCAATTTCGATCATTAGTCTTTTGTTTGCAAAATTATTCCACTAACATAAAAAAAACGCCAACAAATCAAACCGGTAAGTTTTTGAATTTTTCATATTAAACCAGCATAAAACATGCAGCACACCAGCCAAACATTGAATCCAGCATGAAAAAAAAACTCCCAATCACAAAGAAAGAACCCACCAACCCATTCATGAGGGCAAGTTCCGGTAACCAGATTTTGTCGGCCTTGATGATCACGTTGTCCACGTTGCCAAAGAGTTCTGGCTTCCAGGTCAGTCGTTCATCTGTCCACTCCTTAGTATTCACGTTCAATTTGATGGCGATTAACCGTCAGTGTGTTAAGTAACAAATTTCTAAAAATCTTTTAATTAATTTTAAAGTTACGTTATAATTCAAATGATCATTTACCTGTAACACTTAAACATTTGTGTTAACAATTCTGAGCACATTTAACAGCGCAAGCACGGTTACTTAATTTAAGGCAGCTAGGACACATAGCTGCTTGTAATGCTGCTTATTTGATGTGCTGTTATTTATGTCACGCGATTTCTCGCCCACCTCATTATCTGCGTTGGATTGGCTGCATCGAATTCTGTTCGATGCTACTCTTCTTAAGAGATTCAACACAACAAACCGTAGCAACAAACGATAGGAGCAACGATGGAAAAACAATTTACAAATTTGGAATGAAATGAAAGCTGCTGCTTACCGCTATAATCAGTCCCGTGGTAGTTAAGACCTGGCTTCGTTCGTCCTGAAATTATAAGAAGCATTAATCAACTTCCTGCCAACACTCCTTAAGTTTATTTTTTCAAATTTTTTAAATTTAAAAAATTTATTAAACCAGAGCAATGTGAAAATTTGCAGGGCAGACGTTGACAAAAAAGTTACAAACGCCTAATTTTACTGAATAAATTTTATTAAAGTCACAATTCAACGAAAAAAACTAAAGAAATATAATTCAATTTGTTTCCTAATTACTAACAGAAAGGTTAAAATTTATAAAAATGTCAACATGTTGTGCACGTGGCAGCACAGAGCAACAACATCCAACAGATCAACACAACATTCAAGCATAAAGACCATATTTATATCTTTATTGACTGCAAAGGGAAGTTTCTATTTTTTTCTTACTGCGTCATGCTGCTGCTGTGCGCTGAAACTATTGATTATTAATTTAATAATTATTTCTACTACAAACAATAAAACTTCTTTAGAAAAAACAAAATGAAGAAATTACTAATCAACGCACGCATCACTGACGTTAAAGTTAAAGCAAGAGAGAGAAAAATTTATGTGCCAAATACGTTTTTGTGATGGTGAAGCTTCATTGGAAAATTTAACTTCTACGATCAATTTTATCAATTTTTAAAAGATAAAGTTGATACAATTTTGCTAAAGTTGCTCATATTGCTGTTTGTTCTATAACTTTTGCTTACCTATTTACTTTACTAGTGCATGATGTCTATAGCCCGTACAAATTAACAATTTGAGAGCTGCACATGATGACATTGATAATAATTTTCGACTAGAAAAAAAATTTTGAAATAATTTTGTAAACTATGTAATTTTTTAAAACAGTTTAAAGTTAAAATTGATCGATTGGAGCCGTACAACATTAAGCGAGAAAATGTTAAAAAATTAAACAAGTCTAAATGCTCTGTTATATGGATTTCTGGAAAAAATTTGGTTAATTTAATTTATTCAGTTAAGAATAATTTGGAATGTCAGCAATTTGCATCTGCATGTTTCCAACACTGCCTGCGTGCACTCAACTGTCGTTTGGCTTAAAAACAGAATAAATATTTTGTGCAAAACATTTTCAGCGCATGGATATAAAAATATATTAGAATGATTTAAAAATTTTCTAAAACATAAATGATAATAAACTAAACTGTTACAACAAAATTTCAGCAAAAAAATTTAAAAAGATTGAATGCAAATTGATTTGCACCATCTGAATGCTGCTGGCATATTTATGTGCTCGTTTCACTATAAAACTTCCATAATATCATTACATTATATCGATAATCAGTATTATTACAATATATCATATATCACATATTATATGTCATATATCACATATCATGTGTCATATATCACATATCATATTATTGCACAATATCACCGCAACAAATCATCACATATCAAAATATAACCTCATTACTATTGCGTCACATCATACCATTATAACATTGTTTCGTTCCTGCTGTGAACGACGCAAGCTGTCGAGCGCTTATGGAAATTTTCAGTTCATATTGAAAAATTAATTCCATCACACAACCAAATCAAATACACACACTCAAACACACATACACGCACAAACACACGCACAAGCACACACACACACACAGACACACACACAAAGAGATTTACAAACACGCACGTGTGCATGGTGTGTGTGTGTGTGTGTGCGTGCGCCCGAACTGATTGCGATGGTTACTGAGAAGAGCATATAGAGTGGATTTTGAAACGGAAGATCGCAGGCGATGCGGTCTTCCACCTCACGAGCGATTTATTTTGAGGACCACACAGCGGCAAACAAACGTATTTTTTAATATTCTATCTAAAATTAACATTTATGTTTTTAGTTTTTCTTCAATACAGGAAGGGTAAAATTTAAAATACGAATTTAATTAATGCAATGGACGAAAGCTGATGTTCGCGTAATAATATGAAAAAATACTTAAACATCAGTCAAACAATCAAAAAAGGTTTGCAAATAAAACAACACGTCATAAAGACACGCCTCGTCAGCAGTTCGAATTCACATGTGACTCATCCGAACAGTTTTTTGGGTTTTTGGTCTGGAAAATTATTTTTAATGTTTGAAACTTGTTTGTCAGTCTTTTAGTGAGCGGAATGTTTGAAAATTTTGTTGCAGACAGGAGGTTTGCTACTCGGTTAGCACAATATAACATTAACTTCTATCCAACATTTCCGAAAACTTCTGCATTCAAGTTAATATTTCAAATACACGTTCTTACTTCTGCTGTGAATCTGTCGTTGAGAATAATTTTTAATTGAAGAGTTGCCGAGAGCTCTGTATTCCAACATGTTGAAATATCCTGTGATGTCTTTTCAGCGTTCATTAGATCAGTGGTGAGTTAGAACGAAAATGAAATTAAAACATGAGTTGCTAAGTGTTTTTTCAAGTGATTAAAAATTTAGCATTAAATTTACAAATCACATCACAACGATGCTTCAAATTTCATTTTCACTAACTAAATGTAGAGAAAGATCTTAAAATTGTTAACAGATCTGCATATTTCATAAAGTATGAACTAGGATAATTGAACAAAATTTAAGAAAATTATAAAAAAATAATGCAAATTGATGAAAAATACTCTGAAAACATTCTGGCATAAATTAAAAAATTGCGGAAAATAAACGCGGTATGAGTTTTATAGAATAGGTTGGCTATTGAGCAGGAAACAAACATGAACATTTGTAATGAAGTATTACCACCGAACATTTGTATGAGCTTCTAATTTTTAATTTAATTTATAGCGAAACATTTAATAACATTTAATAAAGTTCAAATGTCAATGCTTAGATACAAATAGCAGCAAGACTGTAACGTAACGTGACATCGGGGCGACAACAACAATGCCAGACCAGCAGCAGCATGTGTGACAAGCGATTCGTGACAACAAAAATTAATACTACACAATGAATCCTGAGCAGAACCCCAACAACATTGAACGTTAGATTACAACTTGACATCCTCCAACAACACACCATTCACATCGAGAACACAAAAATAACATGATGAACAACAGATCAGCGAAAACACCACAAACATCTCCATTTCTTTGCATTGAGCATCAAAGTCTTCATTAGTAACCTCTACAAAACTATGGAGTGCCAATTAGCAATTTGAAATAATCTTTCATGTTGAAATAATAACAAACGAAACAAGTGCATTTGCATACTTATTCAGAGAAAGTATTTTTACATAAATGTAGAAATTTTTGAGTAGGCATAAAAATCAGAAATTGAAGCTTCGTAGAGTTAGATAGTAGTTTCAAATTTTTAGCCAGACAGCCAAAAATACGATTACAGCAAAACAGTTTTGATGTAACAACTTACGAAAAGTTGTTTCGAAGGTATTTAACAAATTAATCTTCATCGAAACTAATCTTTTGAAAAATATAATAAGATGAGGTTGAATTCGAATAGTGGTTAAATATTTAATCGAACACGAGCCAGTCTAATATTTCACAATAATAGATTTTAAATTTTCTAACAAGCAAAAAGTCATTTATCAAACTTAAACCGGTTTTCAATGTAGTTGCTTTCAGAATTAAATATAAGGGAGATTCAAAGTTTTGTTAGTTTTATTGCTGCAAAGTCATTTTAAAAGCTGTAATACTGAACAGTGCAACACAAAGGGACCACACTTGTGTAATTTAAATCAAATAACAAATCTAAACTTGAAATAAATTTTCAAATATAAATGAGCAAACAGAATTGAAGTTCCCATCAAACAAACAAAATCAAAATAATCCAATTGTTATTGCAGATGTTGTTGTTGTTCGTGTGGTTGTTTTTGTCAATGTTGTTGTTGTTATTTTCATGTTGTTAGTGTTGTTGATAATTGATGCAGTATATAATTCTGTTTTTTATCCGGTCACTATTTCTGCGTATTGACGTTTGTTTCGCTTGACGTTGTTTGAAAATTTTCAAGTTTCTGGTTCAATACGGTTTGGTTTGTCGTGTGAATATAATAAAATTCATTGGTTCATTATGAAACGTTTGTTACTGCTGCTAACAAACATTGCGTTATAATTATCAAATCAATTATTATTATAATTGGTGTTTTGTATTGATTTTTTGAACCTGACGATGTTTGTGAAGAAATGCTGGCAGGATGGTGTTGGTGGATCTTACTCGTGTATCATGTTTAAACGCCATGCATGAACGCAGTTGTGCTGCTGGTGCTAATTGCCATCTACCTCGTGTCAGTCAAGAAAATTTATTTAAAGTACAGAAATGAATTAACGAATAAAAATAAAAAATAAACAAGTAGATTAGTTTCTGAAACAGTAATTCATGGAGTCATTAGATTCGCTGCAGAAATGTTTGTTTTAAATTTGCGTAATGTGGGTGCGTTAGCATAGTTGTGCACATTTTTAGGAGCGTATCAAGAGGATTATTTTGCTGTTGTTGTTGTTGTTGTATACTAATCAATGCCCTTTTATTAACTTAAAATTAATTATTATTGTTTTACCAATGCTATTATATTATCTGAAGTTATTTTCATGACATGATTTCAATGTTTTCATGAGAAAAAC